TTATTGAATTGAAACACTTTTGATATATTCTGGATACAAGTCTTTTATCAAAAATGTTTTGTAAATAATTTTCTCCCAGTCTGTGACTTGTCTTTTCATTTCAGAATTTATTTAAAGAAGCACAAGTTTTTAATTTTAATGAAATCTAATTTATCATTTTTCTTTTTCTATTTTGATATCACATCTAAGAAGTCTTTGCCTCACCTAAGGTCATAAAGATTTTCTCATGTTTTCTTCTAAAGTTTTATAATTTAATGCTCTACACTTAGATCAATGCTCCATATTGAGTAAATTTTTATATAAATTATAAGGTAAAGGCCTAGAGTTTCTTCTATGTGGATATCCAAATATTAGTACCATTTTTTAAAAAGACTATCCTTTCTCCATTTTATTGGCATTTTTGTATAAAATCAATTGACCATGTATATATAGGTCTATTTCTGGACTCCAAAGCGCTTTTTTTTTTTTTTTTTTTTTGAGAGACAGGGTCTTACTGTGTAGGCCAGGCTAGGCCTGCACTGGCATCATCATAGCTCACTGCAACCTCCAACTCCCAGGCTCAAGTGAATCTCCTGCCTCAGCCTCCCAAGTAGCTGGGACGAGAGGCGTGCACCACCACACCTGGCTAATTTTTCTATTTTTTGTAGATACGGGGTCTCGCATTTGTTCAGGCTTCCATAGCATTCTAATGATTTCTATGCCTAACATTAAACCAATATCAAACCACCTTGATTACTGTGGCTTTACAGTGAATTTTGAAATCATAAGTCCTCCAACTTTGTTATTTTTAAGACTTTTTATGCTACTTTTTAATTGAGATATATAGATTTGTCTGATAAAGATTAAAGTTATTTTTATGAAATGAGTCATTAGACTAGTGACTAGGTAATAGTCACCAACATGGACATGAGGAGACAGATTTGAGATATATTTGAGTTAAGGAGGTATAACTGACAGAATTTAATGATTCATTACATGGAATAGATGAAGAACAATAGTCTAGTATGATTTATAGGTCTGTCTTGAATAATTAGCCATATTGTAGTGCCACAACCTGAGAAAGAAATGCAGGAGATGAAAATCATCAGTTCCGTTTTGAACCTGTTTCAAGCTGCAATGCCCATGGCACTTTCAAGAAGATACATTTCACAGACAATTGGGTATTTGATTCTGAAGCTCAAAGGAGGAGTTAGAGCTAAAGGATGAAAAAGATGGCTTTGGCAATAGTCATATGTAGTTGGGAAGAGCATTCTGAGAAAACATGTTGACATAAAAGAATACCTGGGCAAAGAAAGAACTCAGATAACTCTTCTTTGAAAGAATTCAACAAAAGAAAGCAATGGCTAAAAAGAAATATAATCGAAATATGAAATATGAAGGTCTTAATAAAGACTATTTCATAAATCTTGAGAATATTAAAAGCAGGGAAAATTCTCAAAGGCTGAGGAGAGAAGAAAACCAACTTAACTGGCAGCGCATAAACAAAATCAGTTACAAACAGACCCATACCAATTTAAAATATAAAAAGGATTTAGATAAATTAATATATGATCAATTGAGTGGACTGAATTATGATTCTAAACTATGTGGGAAAATACCACTCTCCCACAAAAGCTCAAGTATTTAATACTATCAGTCTGACTCAGTATGGACAAGCAATATTTTTAAAATCTACATAAATGAAAATGTTATTTTTCACACTGATTGACAATTAGACATAAATGCTCTCCCTATTGTTGCATTTTTGTGCTCACTCTAAAAATTACCTGCATTGATACAGTAATCTCTTGAAGGGCAGCATCTGCTTCATCTTGCTTAGTTTTAAGTAATATACTTTGTTCTCCAGCTTTTCTGTTCAGTTCATCCACAAGAGCTTTAGCTTCGTTTAGTTTGGATACACCAGCCTACATCAACAAAATATTGATTGGCAATATATAAAAATTTTACACACACAGAGTAAATAAAACCCCATAAAAAAGAATCAAGCAAACATGTAAATGTACACATAAAAAACAGTAGCAAGTACACTTAAGTTCTTTTCTTATTGTCAATTATAATCATTTGCTTAACATTAAGGTATAGTAAAAGATTCCACAGAAGTTTTGAAGAAAAACAGATTTTAAACCATCACAGAGGATGGTTCAACCTATGCAAATCAATGAACATGTTACATAAAATCAACAGAATGATGGACAAAAACCATATGATCATCTCAGTAGATGCAGAAAAAGCATTTGATAAGATTCAACATCCCTCATGATTAAAAACTCCCAACAGGCCGGGAGTGGTGGCTCACGTCTGTAATCCTAGCACTCTGGGAGGCCAAGGAGGGAGGCTTACTTGAGCTCAGGACTTCGAGACCAGCCTGAGCAAGAGCGAGACCCCGTCTCTACTATAAATAGAAATAAATTAGCCAAACAACTAAAAATAGAAAAAATTAGCTTGGCACGGTGGCGCATGCCTGTAGTCCCAGCTACCTGGGAGGCTGAGGCAGGAGGATCGCTTGAGCCCAGGAGTTTGAGGTTGCTGTGAGCTAGGCTGATGCCA